TGGCCTTAAAGGGTAAACTATTCCATTTCTATTGTAAATTAAATTAGCATTTCATAAATGCGTGAAAATCTTGTTTCACGTAAATGATTACATAAATGCTTATTTTAAAATATTTATTACTATATATTATCGTTATGTATAAAATATATTTAAAGACGGCAAAATTGCTTGCTCACCACTAGCCGAAATTAGGAATTACGGTCCATCCTCATGTTAGTCACAACAATAAAATGGTATGGCAGTTTTAAACATAAAAATGCTGCTAAAATTTTCGATTAAAAGAAAAAAAAAAATCAACAAGTTGGAACGTTCGACAAGATCCGAACAATTAAACAAACAAAAGAAAAACGGGTCTCGAGAACGTTTGACCTGTTTTTTTTTTTTCAAAATTTCAAAATCCAATTTCTAAATTTTATATTTTTTTTTTATTCAAAGAGATGTGACGATCGTTGTTTCATTCCTAAACCTGAGACAAATTTAAATATTGAACGAAATTGAGCATTTTATACGTTATGTCCGAATACTCGCCTTTAAATTTTATTTACATTATTATAAATTTAATAAGTTTGTTTCTATTAGGGATATTAATAACATTAATTTCACAATCGACAACTTATTTTCTTAAAAATACCCTTCTTCAACTATGTGTATGTGCTTTTTTCATTCACATAAGCTACATTCCTTCTACGATGTATTATGGCGACGTAATGGATGCTGTAAAAAGCACCACAATAAGTGCTGAAACTTCAGTAACCTTATGTATAGTTCAAGCAAAATTAACTACTTTTTTTTCTTATCCACTACAAATATTGCCAATAGCTTTAACAATCAATTTATGGTTCGCTGTAGTGAAATATAATGTTAGAATTGAACAAAAATATTTTTGGTGGTGCACTGGATTTATTTGGGGGTGGACAATTTTTTATAATATCATAAGTTTAATACTTGATACCAAAGAAAAAAATTCAAACGTTAGCGCAAATGAATTCTTTTGCATACAATCTTTTAAATTAATGTGGATTTGGTATTGCTATTTGACATCAATGCTTATTCTAACCACCATCTCGTTAGTTATTACAGGTAAGTTAAAAAAAAAAAAAAAAAGTGTTGGAAATAATCTTAATGCATTCATTCTTGTGTGTATGCGCATACTGTCTGTCTAATTATCCATTTTCATTTTCATTTTTTTAATAGTCCATTCTGGTATTGTACTTTGGTCTCGTTGGAAAATTTTTACACACAGGCAGAGTAGGAATACAGCTATTAAATTAGGACTAGCTAGTCGCTTAGTAGTTCTATGTTTTATATATTTAATTTCATTAACAATATCATTGTTGTCATCGTTAATGAAATATCTTAATAAAAAAACTAGTGGGTGGTCGATTGTTGCTGATTTTTCTAGTTGCTTAATGTAAGTTTATGTATTAATACGCATACATTGTCGCGTATTAATGTAAATGCTAACATGAATCTTTTTTTTTTAAAAAAAAAAAAAAAGTGGAACAATAATTTTTCTAATATTTGGAACAACAAAATCTGCTGCAATATTTTTGCCATGTTGCTATTATGTACCTCCAAACGACCTATTTTCGGATCAATCGAGACCCAGTCAAAATGATGCTAATCTTTCATTTCAACTTCAAAACTTAAGGTCAAATGGAAATCAATTACGGCTTCCCTCAGGATCGATTGATTTGAATATACTTGTACCTGATAGTCCCGGCGCTGGTTCAAGTTTTTTAACTAGTTCGAGTCAAAATATAGCGACAGAAGACCTTCCACCTTTACCTAGGTCTCCACCACCATTACCTTCACCTACAATGCCTCTAACGCGAGATAGTTATCGAATGCATGAATTACAACGAGATGGCTATTCAAATTCCGGTCAACTTTTTGATGATTGGTATAAAATTGAAGGCAATGAAGATGATGAAAATGTATAAATTATAAATCCACATTGTTGTAATGATTACTCACGATTAAGCTGTAAAGTCACCCATTGTTAAAAGCATGTCGATTTAATTTCATGAAAAGTACCATTTGAGAAGACAGATACCAGAGATTAAACGAATTAACAAACTCTAATAGAACAGTCACAAAAATTAGATTTTAAATTCTATATTCTAGATTAAGTTAATCATGTAATTTAATTATCACGTCATTGTTGAAAGTTTATTGTTTACCCGTGCCTTTTTCATAAATAAAAATGTTATATACAAAAAGAAAAAATTTTAATCTTTGATTGTTCTATAGTTTGACTTGTTGTCCATCTTGGAAAAATGGTATTCGAATACGAAGGGTTCAACTCGAATACGAAGGAATACGAAGGGTTCAACTCGAATACGAAGGAATACGAAGGGTTCAACTTGAATACGAAGGAATACGAAGGAATACGAAGGGTTCAACTCGAATACGAAGGGTTCAACTCGAATACGATAGGCTTAACTCGAATACGAAGGGTTGAACTCGAATACGAAGGGTTCAATTCGAATACGATGGGTTTAACTCGAATACGAAGGATTCAATTCTCAGAATTTTGGACAGATGATCCCGAACATCGAGATCCGTTCTAATAAAATAATTACTATATTTTCGCGAAATAACGAGTATACAATTATTTCGTCGAAATCAGATATATAAGGGGTGTGTCATTTCCCATAAACATTATATTGAAACAAAGTATACCGTACCGCACTGCCTTTAATACCCCTTCAAATACTGCCCGGATATATTATAAAAAAAAAATTATAAGATCCGGGTATTAAAATTTAATAGATTTAATTGAAAATTATCGAAGCATAATACCACCATGTCACATATCCCCAGCTTGTGTACCCACTCTTGGTTAAGAATTTAATAGATTTAATTGAAAATTATCGAAGCATAATACCACCATGTCACATATCCCCAGCTTGTGTACCCACTCTTGGTTAAGTACCCATGGATATATTGCTATGTATAATACCCTTTTTTCCTGATAAGGCCCGGGTACTAAAGGCAGTGTGGTACGGTAATATTTTTAAGGATTGAATTTTTCGAATCTATTCTTGTAATTTCGAATATAATATTCCGGTAATCCAGTTTGAGTAAACATTACTTACTTTATAAGATTTATAAAATAAAAAAGTTATTCGAAAAATTAATATTTACTAAAAATAT